GTGCGGACGAAGACACTCTCTCTCTCTCTCTCTCTCTCTCTCTCTCTCTCTCTCTCTCTCTCTCTCTCTCTCTCTCGCTCTCTCTCTCTCTCTCTCGCTCGCACGCTTTCTCTCGACTCTCAGCGCTCACGCGATAACTGGACGCGAACGCGCATTGGCGCAATGTGGATTCGTCGAAACCCCGGCAGACAGTTAGCGAGAGATGAGCGTGAGCGTGAACGTGCGCGCGCGTGTGCGCGTGTCCGTGTGCGTGTGCGTGTGTGTGCGCGTGTGTGTGTGTAGACGCAGGATGCGATTGGTTGCAGGGGCGAGGGCGTGGGGAGGAGGGGGCTCCGGCAACACCAACTGTGGAGGGTGGTGTCACATACATGGTCATTTGGGCGCTCACGCCCGCCCGCGCGTGCACGCACACACACACAAGACTCCAGACTGTCACCACCAGACTGTCACCAACTTTCGACAGTCACCCCCACCCTCCCCTTGCGAACCCCACCGGGAATAATGTAGACACAAAACACACACAGGCAGATTTTGCCTTTGGTGACAGTTCAGCTGACCATAGAATTTTAAGACTGGCCTCTTTGGGTTGGCGAGAAAAATCAAGCAAATTCTATCTATCTATTTATCCATCCATCTTGTAGGCACTGCAGGAATTTCTGGCAAGAACTGCAGTTGTTTAGTGCAACAACAGTCTCCCTCTTCTTCATACGTCCGGGCGATGGGGTAGGACGGCAAGTTGTATCCTTCAAAAACACTCAAAGGCCAGTGTGAAAATTCCAAAAGGTGCAAATGCAACACAGCTCATCAGCATGCCAACCGTAAAGGCATCATCATGAGCAGGGTGAGTTTTTTTTCTTCAGTTGCAACTGGGGGCTTTCGCATAATTCAGAGAGAAATGGGGCAAAAAAAGGGGGTAGGGGGAAAGACAGGAAAAGCCTACTAGAACAGCTGAACTATCTCTGGGGTAATCGGAGGAAGTTTGAATGGCGACGGGCGCATTGGTGGGCCCCACTTAGTTCGAATGAGATTGGTTCATCTGGAACAGCCGCATCCCCATCAAAAGAGGTCACGTTCATGATCGGAAAAGTTATGAAATGTCCAAGATCTTGGTCTGGTTTGAATTGGGATGTCTCAATTAGGGTTTTTTTTTGTTTTTTTTTGGGGGGGGGGGGGGGTCAATTAGGGTTTTTTTTGGGTGGGGGGGTTGGATCAACTATCGAACTTTATCGTGGCAGCCATCATTCTGATCATTTGTGTTAAGTTTTGATTGTTGTAACGACTTTCCTGAACTGGTGTACCTAATGAAGTGTCCGCTGAGTCTTTGTTTTTTTTCGTGTGTATGGGCATCACTTCCTTGCTGCGTGTCTGTGTGCTGAGTCAGCACTCTGCCTATCAAGTGTCAGCAAGTGGAGTGGAAGAGCCCCAAAAGGAGTCCATGTCGAGAATCTGTATTGGATAATACGAGGGCTCTTGGGGAGGGGGGACCCCAATTTTCCTCACTCGTCCACTAGCCACCTTCCTCAGGCACCTCCCCCTCCCTCCACATACTCATGTCGGTGTAGATGAGAGCAGAATGTAGGTCTGTGCTTGCCTACAGCCATCAGAAACAATCAGTTCTGCCCCACTTACTGACGCACTCGCGTCACAGCCACACCACACACACACACACACACACACACACACACACACACACACACACACACACACACACACTGCGATGCAGACAATATGCTGCCAAATGTATACACACACACAGAGACCCACACACACACACACACACACACACACACACACGCTCAGACCCACTCTGAAGCGAGGTTGGCGAGACATTTGCAAACATTTGAAGCTGATCATGTTCACACTTTGACCCACTGAGGATTGCAATGGACTATTTTGACATTTCAAATTAGAACATAGGCACACACACACACACACACACACACACACACACACACACACACACACACACACACACACAATGCAGAAAACACATGGAATGATAAGGTGTACCGGTAATTGAAAAATCTAAACATTAAATAATAATCAAGAATATTGTCTAGGATGTATTTTTTAGAAATGTAATAGTACTTGCAAAGAAACCACGCCTCCATTAGGCTAAATGTTTTATTAAAATGTTCTGTATATAAAACTGTTTTATTAAGATGACATGGGCAACTACGCTATTAGGCTCGCGATTTACATGGTTTCCGATGTTACTTTGGTGTTGTCCACGTATACGATTAAAACGGCATCTATGAAGCGTCATCCAGCATCTTAGCACACTTTTTTGTTCTAAATACAAACAATAAATAGCTTTTTTTTCCAAGTCGGAAATAGCAATTCATGGATTCATGACAATCAACAAGGAGCTTTTATTCCGCTACCATGCAGGAAATGCAAAAGTCCACTTCCAGGTCATTCTTTTTCACATTCTCATCATTCTCGCAATGAATTTGGTGAGTCCAAACGTTCCCACGCTGTGCTTATTTGCTTTTTATGCATCCGTTTACAGCCGACGTCATTGTCGGTAAGCGTGCTAATTGTGTTTATTGACCGTGGATGAGCAAGGATACGAGGTTAGGAGGAGGACAAAAAGAGGGGAGCATCCACCCGCATCAATTTTCATCCACGGTAAATTATTGAAGGGACGGCGTGGCCCTTCTCACCTTCATGAAATATCCTCCGACAAAAGGGCTGGTGATTGCATGTCTACGCACCAGTCGTAAAGGGGAATGTTTCACGCGCACGCGTGCCGCATCCCGAGGGAGCTGATTAGTGGAAGATTTGTCGGGCGTCCCACCACAAACATACATGCACCCAACCCCCACCTGCCTTCAGATTGCCAACACAAAACCCTTCTTGGACGCATTTCTGTTATTTCATGCGGTGTTTCCCTCACTTGATCAAACCAAAGCACTGTCCGTGAGATGACTAGAAATGTCAGCGATCCCTGACAGCCCCACAAAAACAAAAATTGCGATGTGTTTATTTATTTATTTATTTATTTATTTATTTATTTAAATAATGAGTGGGGGGGGGAGCAGTCCCCACTGTTGTGCTTTGTAGAAAATATACAAGCACTGTAATACATTCATTTCATTTTATGTAACCAGTTTGTGCGTCATGATTTCATGCGACAATGCCCATTGACATTGTGCTCCCTCTGGTGTGTGAGTCTTGGCCATCACGAGGCAGTAAAATTCATTCATTCATTCATTCTCCGAACCGCTTGATCCTCACTAGGGTCGCGGGGGGTGCTGGAGCCTATCCCAGCCGTCTTCGGGCAGTAGGCGGGGGACACCCTGAATTGGTTGCCAGCCAATCGCAGGGCACACAGAGACGAACAACCATCCACGCTCACATTCACACCTAGGGACAATTTAGAGTGTTCAATCAGCCTACCACGCATGTTTTTGGAACGTGGGAGGAAACCGGAGTACCCGGAGATAACCCACGCAGGCCCGGGGAGAACATGCAAACTCCACACAGGGAGGCCGGAGCTGGATTCGAACCCGGCACTTCTGCACTGTGAAGTCGACGTGCTAACCACTGGACTACCGGGCCGCCCGGCAGTAAAATTGAGCCAGAAAACAAAAAGAAACATTTCACAGCTAAGTGACTCAGTGAGCTGCACTCGTGTATTTTTCCATTTTAAGCTGTATTGTTATATTTTCTGTTTACGTGTGTTGCTGCGCTGTGTGTTTTCAAATATTAGTTGCTTCGAGGTTTACAACTGCCACAGCAATGCTAGTTTCACGAGCCCACTTTGGTAGACAAATTCTAAGTCAGGTTACTTGTATATTATTGAGAATGTTAATATGTGTGCTACTGATTATTCCGCTTCATGCGCCATATGCCTTGATCAGCTACACTAATTGACATGAAGTGTAAATTGGCTGTTTGGCGTTGAAGTGCTGTTTCCACCAGGGAAAAGTCAATCAAGTGTTTGTGGGTGCTCTTTTTATAGGAGGAATTTACCAGTGGCTTCATTCAAGTGCCGTTCATTTGCAGTCTGGTAGCAAAGGGGTGCACGTCCTCTGCGCTGGAGGGAGTCTCATATTAGTCGACAAAAGTCAACAACAACAACGAAAAATTATTGCGAAATAGTCACTAAATTGGCAACACTGACTCGTGCTCGCTTTACAGTATTATTCCCAAATAATGTTGAGTGAAAAAAAAAAACGTCCTGCGCCCACGTTTGAATTCAAGCACACTTTTTTCCTCCAACAGCATTACAGAATATATTTATTATGAGCATATTTTTTTCTTCATCTGTGTGAGTTCAAGACGTGAAAATAGGTTACAGACAGTGCAGTGTGTGCGTGCGTGCGTGCCGTACCAACTAAGCAAAAGTGTTGCGCCTGGCCCAGATACGAGCGAACATCACACAGTCTGCAGACAGCATAGCAACCAGACAAGTCTGATCGCAGTCTGGAGGAGGAGGAGGAGACGTGGGAAGACACCAGACATACACTGCAGACTGAATCAAGGAAGAAATATATATATATATTTTTTTTTTTTTTTTTTTAAAGGCAAAAAGACATTTTCTCTTTGTATGCCTTTCTGCGATTCTTCCAATGTCTTTGTTGCCAACCTGCTGATGACACTTTCAAGCTCAGTGGCACAGATGAAATTTCTTTCCTCAGGAGAGAGAGGAGCCGCTGCGGGTGCCCACGTTTGTTCTGTTGATCATTTTTTGGGTGTTGATGTGGTCCCATAATGTGAAAATGTGGACTGCGTGATGAAGAGGATTGTTTAATTCTTAAAAAAATGTGCAAAAATTACATAAGCATTGGACAAAAGCTAACTGGTCCAAAGGTTCTCGTGCGGTGAGTCAGTGTGGCGCTTGCAGCAGTAGTGGTACGCAGGCTCCCTCTGCTGGTAAAACGAATCATCACTGTCTTCTTTGCAGTTCACTTGTATTTTCATGCAAATATATATTTTTTTCTCTTTGAGTATATTTCCGGATGAAATAAATCTGTCTCGTTTCCCAAAAATACTGGGGACTACGACACAACTGTATTTTAATGTTGATTATTAAGGTGCTTGCTTTTTTTGAGGGCTTAGATTTAGATCTTCATCAAATCTGTGTATGGTGGTGGGAACACTTCTTCAGTTTGATTTTACTAAACAAACTCTGTAATTCCAATAATAAAAATGTATTTAAAAGGTTGAACTTCCGAAGATTATATGTATGGCTTGCGGAAGTGTTATTTAATGTAACTCAATTTTTTTAAAATGCAGGTATTTTTGAGTGGTAAAACCAACTTCTCTATATAAGGTTAAATTTCTATCGACGTGCTGCCTTTTCCCACTGGTTTGTGTCATTTTTTTTTATTCGCGCCTGCTCATGTAACCTGCCTGTTCTTTGTCCATGCGAGCTGAGCCATTCAAGCAAAAGGAAATTCGTCAGGCGCCGGTGGCTTCAGCGACTATTAGCCAATTAGCGGAGAGCATCGCCGAACGGTTCCGCCTTTACGCGCGTTCTCAGCCACCCATTGGCTAATCTTAAGGGACCTGACATATTTGGGGGTGTGCCTGTTCCATAACGGTGAGCTCCATTCTGAGGTGCCGGGAGGCAGAACGGGAGGTGAAGCACTCCTGTCGGGTGTACCGTCACGGTTGTTCAGCGGAGAAGAGAAGCCAAGGGTGGTGCTGCGAAAACACAAAAAGTGTCAGGTAAGTAAGTATGACAACTCTTATCTCGTAACAGAATTTGGATGGACTCGTTGAAGGAAAAAAAAAAGCTAACCTTGGCTAAGTTACGTCACGTTCGTGAGGATGGTGCTGTTTTCCAGCCTTGTTTTTATATGCTGCCATAAATAAAGTTATCAGGTGTTCGCGTGAACGCTGAAATGCGTGTTGATTTTTTTTATCACTTTCGTTGGTCTGACACGACCTTTCAACCAGAGAAGCGTGATGACATAAGGGTCGTTCCAGAATTGAAGGACACTTTACCTCCCACCTATCAAATCTTGAATAATCCGCATACAAAATACTCCGAGTAAATGTACTTGTCCTGAGACTAAATTTGAAAAATACAAAGAGAAAAGTTTGCTTGAAAATAGTTTTTAAAACACAAAATAAGTCTAATACTGAAGAATATGTAGCGGGAAATCAGAAAAGTGAAGGTTTATTTTTCAGGAATTTCAAGCCAAAATGTCTTCCAATTCTGGCATGAACACTCGACTTTGTTTGTGTTTTCTTTGCCTGAAGAGCCGATCAATAATATATCAAGTTTATTAAACAATAACAGGATGGACGCCATGTACCAAATGTGCTCCAAGATGTTCTCCAAATGGCTAACACGGTCAATAAACAATAGCAGGACGGATGTTCCCAAGCAGTGGCAGCAACAGATACATTCATTTCTTTGCAATAAAATGAAAAACTACTACAGTGAGTGAAACTCCATCTATCACAGAAGATACATTACAGACCTACCCGGGATAAAAATCTGCGATCTCAAGAGAACATATTTATGAAACAAAAAAAGTCCTCCTTCCACACACTGTAAATACATTTCAACTTTTTGAAACACACATCATCGTATGAAAATACACTTTTGAAAGCACGGATGCGCATCTGTTCTCACTCCGTCGCTGTTGTCAAATCGAAGAAAATTGTATCATCTCACTTTGAGGAAACAAAGATTCACTCGCACAACTCCCCGTAAGAGGCACGGCGGGCTTGCTTCAAGCTGTTATTTGTCACTTCCCGTTGAGGTCGACCGTCGCAGAAAATGACACAGAATTGTTTATTGAAACACCAAAATATTCAACCTAACCATAATTTGTCATTTCTTCGAAGGAAATTGATACCAACATACAATGCCAAACGACAGGCTAATTGAAATTCTCATTCATGTTACGGTAATTCTTAACCTTCCAAAAAAGTGCTGCTTGAACGCAAACGGAACATACGACGGTGCTCACAGACATAAATCCTCTGCGCGAACGATGTTCGGTCCTTCGGCAGGTATGAACGGTGCCACGGAAGTCACCAGGAGGCGGGTCCAAAATGGCAGCCACAGCAAATTGGCGTCCGACAAGATGGCAGAGCCTGCGCAGTGGGGGAGAGCCTGGTGAGTTGCTCACATGATCAGCGACAAGTCACAACATGTTGGTTTCTCCATGGTCGTCGCATTTCCTTTCCGTGGAAAATGCTGAAACGAGTTTGTTTCTCTGTGCCGGTGGACTTCAGGGAGGTGGACTGGTTTTCTCTGCTGAGCGTGGTGGCCCTGCTATGCTTTGCGCCGTTCATCGTCTTTTTTTTCGTGATGGCCTGCGACCAGTACCAGTGTTCGGTCACGCAGCCCCTCTTGGAGCTCTACGGCGGCGAGACCACCCTCCTCTCCATCTGGGCCCGCGTACCCTTTGTCACCTGGTCGGCCGCCAAGATCTACGCCGTGTGGGTCATTTTCCAGGTACGAGCGATGTGCTACTTTGGCTCTGGCATCCTTTTGGTCCGTTTTAATCCAAATCTCGTTTGTCTTTCCCCTTGTCGCGGATGCCTATTGAGAAGTTAGTGGAAAAAAAAATGTGGCAGCCATTTTGGGCAAAATGCTTTTGTAGTGCCTCCTGGAAAGTTCAACGGGTGGCGGGGGGCAACCCCTGAGATAACTTTCACTGATCAACAAGAAATCGGGTGGACATGTCGATCATGACGCGACACACGAAAATGTCTCAAGGAGCTATGCCAAAAAACGAAATGGTATGAAGCAGCCATTTTGATCAAGTTCCTTCAGTTGTGAGTGGCCACTGAAAAGTTAGAAGAAAAAAAAAAGCCCTGAGAGCAGTTTCACCAATTGACATCAAATTGGGTGCACATGCCTATCATGACAGGGTGCACAAAAAAAAGTCTCAGAGACCCAAGCCTAATCTTGAACAGGAAGGCAACCATTTTATTTTGAAGCCGATAAAAAGAGAGAATGTGATGCTATGTGTGGCAAAGCTTTTTCCTTGCGCTCGCTCATGTAAGCATGAAAAAAAGGGTGAGGAGGGTGCGTCAGACCATGTTGTCATAAGTACCAAAAGACTAGACAAAGAGTATGTCAACTCTGTATTAAAAAAAAAGAAGCAAAGAAAGCAAGTGGGTGTGATTGTGTCGTTTCCAGGTGGTGTTGTACATGTGCTTGCCCGACATCCTGCACAAAGTGCTCCCCGGTTACGTCGGGGGAGTCCAGGACGGCGCCCGAACCCCCGCAGGTACGGACGCGCTCGTCTCGGCGTGACATTGTGAACCGTCGCCTTGACGTTGGCTGTGACCTCCTCCAAGGTATCATCAACAAGTACGAGATCAACGGGCTGCAGTGCTGGCTCATCACGCACGTCCTGTGGCTGGCCAACGCCCGCTACTTCCGCTGGTTCTCGCCCACCATCATTTTTGACAACTGGATCCCGCTCATGTGGTGCGCCAACGTGCTGGGTTACGCCGTGGCCACCTTCGCATTTGTCAAGGCCTACTTATTCCCCACCAACCCGGAGGACTGGTGAGGACATTTTACCCCCCCCCCCCTATTTCCTGTATCAGCTACAACAAGAGGGCACATCACGAAATGATAATAATTCACGTGCTCAGGAATTCCAATTTTACGCAGTGAAAAGTGATTTTTAAAACAAAAAAAAAAGGAATTCACTCCGATTCAAGGAATGAAGGGGTGGGGAGGGGGCGGTTATCTACACACAAGACAAACAAGTGCTTCTCGGTCTCTGCGTAAAGGATACGGCGATAGCATGCAAACTTGAGTTTTTTTACATTTTCCATAAAAAGGCACATCTTTCAAAAGAAAAAAGGATGGCTGCAATTCCAAAGACTTTGCCTGTAGAGTCAACAAAGGGCCTTTTCCGCATTATTTCTTCTTTCAGAAAGGGTCACATTTGTTCTGTAGTCACAGGATGACTCTTGTGTCTCCGCAGTAAGTTCACGGGCAACATTTTCTACAACTACATGATGGGCATCGAGTTCAACCCACGCGTGGGCAAGTGGTTCGACTTCAAGCTGTTCTTCAACGGACGCCCGGGCATTGTGGCCTGGACGCTCATCAACCTCTCCTACATGGCCAAGCAAGAGGAGCTCTACGGCCAAGTGAGCAACTCCATGCTGCTGGTTAACGTCCTGCAGGTGAGCGGTTGTCCAAACACGATGTTGACAAGACGCACAGGCGTCGATTCTTTATCCTCTGCGACAAACGATGGATATTGCCGCAGCTCACTGAGCGGTCGTGGCAGTCTCCTTGGAGTATATCCTGAAGTACACACACGCGGCCCCCCGCTGTGGCCGGGTTCTTCTTTCTTTCAGGCCATCTATGTGTTGGATTTCTTTTGGAACGAAGCGTGGTACCTCAAGACCATCGATATCTGCCACGACCACTTTGGCTGGTACCTGGGCTGGGGCGACTGCGTGTGGCTGCCCTACCTCTACACGCTACAGGTCGGTCCACAAGTCAAGTCCACAAACAGGACGAAAAACAAAGCTTGTCTTCGAGTGGTCATAAAGATGTCCTCTGTCTCTCTTAACGCTGTCGTATTAATTGTCACCTGTAGACTGCATGGTCACACAGCGATTTTTTTTTTAGTTATTAAGAAAACACGATGTAAACATTTTTTAAACATTTCCCCTCAATATTGCGATTTCCAGATAATATGCCGTTATTTTTTTTAAAGGTCTTCTTCCTATTTCTTTTTTTAACAAACACAAGTAGCAAATCGATCTGTATTAAAATAAACATCAGATTTATGATACAAAAATGTTTTATGATTATAAAAGATCAGCTTGCGTTCAAAGAAAGACGATGAACCTTGTATTAATATGAAAGTCTTGGTTTTTCTCACCTTTAAGCAGTTACAACAACAACTTCACAAAATAATGCAAACAAATCTTTGGCTTGATCAATTCAACGTTTCGTGAAACAATGAGATGGAAACATGTGCTTCACTTCTGAAGCGCAAAATGTATCTGGACACTTTCATACATCCAATCTACAGGCACGATGCACAATAAGCGACCGAAATGAAGCATTTTTCGTGTAGTTTCCCCCTGCACCCGAATTGCAGCCTTTGCCATTTGAAAATTGCTTTCTCCTACATTGCGATGTCGATTTGAAATCCATTCGTTGTTCCGGCCCTATTTGTGACATGACCGTACACCGTCAAAAATGTTTCTTTGTTTCTTCACGCACTTGACCCCAGCGTGTGATGTCGCGCAGGGTCTGTATCTGGTGTACCATCCGGTGCACCTGTCCTGGGCTCACACCGCGGCCGTGCTGCTGCTGGGCCTGTCGGGCTACTACATCTTCCGCGCCACCAACCACCAGAAGGACCTGTTCCGCCGCAGCGAGGGCGCCTGCGCCATCTGGGGCCGTCCCGCCACCTTCATCGAGTGCTCGTACCGCTCGGCCGACGGCTGCGCGCACCGCAGCAAGCTGCTGACGTCGGGCTTCTGGGGCGTGGCGCGCCACTTCAACTACACGGGCGACCTGATGGGCTCGCTGGCGTACTGCGCCGCCTGCGGATTCGGCCACCTACTGCCGTACTTCTACATCGTCTACATGAGCATCCTGCTGGTGCACCGATGCGTACGGGACGAGCACCGCTGCGGAAGCAAGTACGGCGCCGACTGGAAGCGCTACACGGACGCTGTGCCGCACCGACTCATCCCAGGAATCTTCTAGGCCAAGTGGGGGTGCTCAAACGAAGCCACAAAATAAAGGGCGATAAATAAGCCGTCTGATTTTAAAAATGCAGACCGACAGTACTTGTATGCAGGGTTGCCAAGGGAGAGAAAATTTTCGATCGGTCAATGTACTGACGTGTTGTATCATTTTAAAACGCGCGTACCTACTCGAGGGCTTCAAAGGGACTGGACATTTCTAGCAACTTCCATTTTTTTTTTCCAGATCGTTTTAAAAAGTGCATACGGTGCCTACGTAAGGTTCCAGTGGAATGGAACATTTCCGGCCCACAAAATAATTGCCTAGTCAACTTCATTGTGGCGATTTGCCCATGTGGTATCGATACGGAACGGACGGTTGGACTCGACTCAAATTTGGAAACTTCAGATGAGCGTGTGTAAGGGGACAGTGGGAAAAAGTTTACATGTCACACCAGACGATGCCGCTGACATCATCTTATTATCTCACCAGCGTGAAGATGCCGTCTCTTACGAGCAGTGTGGAAGGGACTACTTAATGTTCTCTGGACCAGAAAGTGAATGTGTCGGTAGATCCAGTTTGTTGCTTTACACTGCCACTTGGGACATACCATTTCCAAACCTGATTTGGAAACAATTTCATTGCTTTCTTTTTTTTCTTGTAATTACCCAGTAGGAAAAAATGTGCCAATGCCCTGACCCGATGACCAATACTGTGGACCAAATGTCTTGTAATCTTACCGCAAGTGATAATTCATGATGACACGCTACAACGAGCTGCAGGAGACCAAACGAGTTTTGCTGGCATTTACAAAATGATGACAACACATCTTGTTAAGTTGACATCTGCGGTTACATCCCGGTTAAACTTTCTGATACAACTTGTGTTCATTTCCTTTCATCACATCGAGTTAAAAGTTGTTTTTTGGACATCCGTGCTAGTTATGCTGACATGATACTTGAAAGGTCATTTTGGATCACAAAGGCTGGAAACATTGGGCGTCATGTCAAATACAAAGACACTTAAGTTTAACTTGAGCTGTTGTTTTTTTTTAATCTGGCGGAAAATTTGTGTTTGCATAAAAAAAAAAAATCTTCGCTTTGGGCTCAATCACAATATATTCGATGTGTCATTAGCACATCTTTTTGTTACAATACCCCTTTCAATCAAATTGGCAATGTACAGGATATCCATCAATGTCATCTTAAAATAAAAAAAGCTTCAAAAAATAATTCAAATGTCGGATCAGTGATAGTACCAAAAAACAGTCACCAAAGCAGTCGGAAATGTCGCTCAATGCCAACTACTCCGTGTCGTGAGTGGACGCTCTTTGAACGATGGAAGACGATGACGAAAAAAATTTACTCGTTCATAAAAGTCAGCCTGAATTGTTCCGAGCTGATCAAATAAGAAGCGAAAGCGGTTTGGGGAAACTTTTCCATTTCAAGCTGCCATATTGCCTTGTGGACGGGAGAGGGCAGCAAATGACAAGCGATCAAAGTCACTGGCGCGTCAAGTTTACGAGTTTGAATTGTTTTAAGCATGAAAGTCGTGTCATAAAATACCAATCACAATATCTTGTTTTGAAAACCAATAGCGATTAATTCTTAGTATTGAAAGTCTATTCATTATTTTATACTCTTGGACCATAAGGCATTTTTAATGTTAGACTATAAATATAATAAGTTAAACATTAAATAATAGTACTGCATAATTGCATTTTAAAACATGTTTTAAGATTTTTCGTAAGACTTTGAATCAAATCACAGGACAGACATTATGACTAGCATAAAATTAAAGAACAGTGACTGAGTTTAGCTTTTTTTTTAACCTCACTGATGAACACTTGAGGCAGCACGGTGGACGACTGGTTTGCATGTCCGCCTCACAGTGCAGAGTTCATGGGTCTGATTCCGGGCCACGGCCTTCCTGTGTGCTTGCTCTCCCTGTTTTCTCATTCTAAAAATTGTCCTGAGGTGTGAGTGCCAATGGCTGTTGGTCTCTGTGTGCCCTGCGATTGGCTGGCAACCAGTTCAGGGTGTCTGATGGGCTCCAGCACGCCCGCAACACTCATGAGGATAAGCGGTTTAGATAATGGTTTGATGGATGGATGAACAACTTGGCCCATCTGACCATTTTACACCTGAACGGTGATGAAGAATGTTCAAATTTGTTTATAATAACTCGATATATACAGATATGTACACTATGCATGCAACAGTAAAAGAATAGCAGATTCTTCTTCTTCCACAAACATGATATGCTTACTCAAGTTTTCGCTGTACAACTTCATGACTTCCATTTCCATGATTTCCTATGGGCAAAATTGTCTCCAAATCAAAACAAACGGGTTGTGCACTGGATTGTGTTCGATCTTGTGGCGTCCGCGCTGTAAATCACTCCTGATACTAAACTGTCAATATGGCCTCGTGTCTTTGTTGCAATATTGACTGATGATTATGATTCACGGATGTGAACTGCTCCTAATTCTCCAATCAGGTTAATGGATTCCCAAAGCATCCCTGACAGGCAGGAAGCGCGGCCCGACGTCCGCCTTGACAAACGGCCTCGCTGGACTAGACGCAATTAGCAATTTGCAAGTCTGGCTGTGACAGGCGCACATTGTCTGGCGGTCACTGATAATGTCAGTATACTGAAAAAAGGTTTTGTTGAAGTTGCACAATTCCGTGAACTGGTTGCACGAAATAAAATCATCTGGACCCGGATACATTTTTTAAGTAGCCTATATACTGTATCTACTTCAGAAAATTATCTGGATCTGGATGATTTGATTTTGTGCAACCCCCTTGACAAAAATAATTTGAGCAAATTGAACGCACCGTTTTTTTCACTGGGGTGAAGAAGCAGTGTGGTACAAATACAGTGGCACTTAAATATGTTAAAAATATTGCTTAGATGGCTATAACACCATGGCACCGATACTATTCACCAGACCGACAACAGCATTTTACATTGTATGTTCGCATTCAATGAAAGGAGCAGACTTTCCTAAGCCAAAGCTAAGAAGTGGTTTTAAATAGAAAATGAGCAATTCACTTTTTTCGACGTTTAGTTTGGCAGAACACTTCAACTGGGGAGCGGCAATTAACAGCTTGCACTTATAACCATTTACTGAACCGGACAAAATGAGAACACTCACAAGGAGCGAGTCCAACCCCATCGGCTGACATCATTCACTCGGCCACGCCTCTTAAAAGAGGGGAGGGGAACGTCTGTCTGAGCAAATCGCGTATGAATGATGATGTGTCCGGTATTTTTTATTTTCCTTTGTATAAGCACACAAGTTAATAGGTGCTGTATATTTATATTTTTTTTATCTGTACTTCTACTCTAGTCCAGTGTATGAGTACTTCTGCCACCTCCGCTGAGGGAACTTATAGAAGAGAAATATACAGGGGAAAACACAATAGTCTGGCCTGATTTCCCCGCGGGCCAAATTATTTTTTATGAGAAGTTTTGCAGGGTGAGAGCGGCGTGAAAAGTTGGAAACGGGGCACCTCGGAGGGTGGAAAGTACATGATTTGTCAGCAAAAAAATAAAAGAGCACCGAACAGTCGTGGATCACATCAAGAACATTCCCGGCATGATTGGACCAAGAAACCCGAGCTGACGTTTTCAAGTTGAATTGTTGTGCCATTACACTGCCCACTTTTTTGTACTTCTTCATTCAAATTATTCAAGTTATTCATAAAATTAAGGAAATTTGGGCTTCAGTTCAATCAGGGCATCTTGGTATCGATTTTTCACATTTCTGTGAGTCGCCCATTTTTCATTCTTAGACCTTTACAATGTCAACGTTCCAAAACTTCTACTTCCTCATTTCTTCACCAATGTATACCATTGCACTTGAGCTCGTTCACAACATCTCAGAAACTTTTTTTCACTTTTACTTGAGTCCTATCTCTGCTCACCTGTGGTTGAAATACAAAAGGAATAACAGTCACAAATGTTGCACAGGTAATTAAAGCTAATAAATAAACCACGGATAATCAATAGGCAATCGAGTCTTTCTGCACAAAAGTGTATTTTAGTTCTTATCTTAAACGGGAAGTGCATTCAGGACGACATTTTTTTTGTGCGCATGGTGTCTTTTAACAAAATGTTCCAAAAAGATTTAAGAGCCTTTCTTTAACCTTTTGACTCATGGCCTGCTAATGGAGTGTCGAGAGCCACTTTGACCATCAGACTAAACAAAGAGAGCCGCCGCTATATACCAGAGAGGTCAGACCGAGCTGTATCGATAACCCGAAACGTCGTTGGAGGCGAAACGTCTGCAATGCGTCAACTCATCAAGCGCCTTGAACCTTGCCACCTTTGAACCACGACGGCCGTGTTTTAGCCTCAAAGAAGAAGACAGCCTGGGTGGCGACAACCTCAAAGGTCAATTGCCATCCGTTGACCGGACTTTTTGAAACAAGCGGCTAGCGTGAGAAGCTAACGTCACGGGCTACATCTTCACTCACAAGGAGGTCACACCGCTCACAGAGGAATCCCAATCCAATTCATTTGTTGACAAAAAGAGTCACACTGCTCCTTCCTTTCAAACACAACAAACAGATCAACTGTCAAATCCAAATCAAATATTTTTGTTCACCACAAGGTGCCCGATAATATCGTTCGCATCTAGCACCATGCAGCTAACATAGCCGTCTCCAAATTCATTCACAAACAGATGGACTCAGATGCTCAAGACCCGTCACCAAAGATGCAATGAAAGTCTTTTGTTCTCAAAAAGCTGTCGGTAGAGAGTCCTATCAAGTCAATGGCAAAGGAACAATTGCTACCCGCTCAAAGGTAACACACATAAAACACTCTACCTTTTGCTCACAAGCGACATGAATGGCATATAACCGGTCAGATAGCGCAGGTAGCTCACATAGTCTACAGTACATGCTCACTCACAAATACTCAAGAAGTCTGATGTTTAAAAAAAACTGTTTTGATCCTGCTAGGCGAGAGTCTCATCAAGCTAACCAATGGCTAGCTAGCCCAAGTCGCTAATGTATGAGTCAACATCGTCACCTCTGGTCAAACAGGATCAGTCACAGGATCTTTCTCTTAAAAGAAAAAAAGGTCTTTTATTCACAAAAATCTGATGTATATCATGTGGCCGAGAGTACTTTTAAGTCAACGGTAAGGGAACAAAAACGGGAAGTCGTGTGACAGCCAACCAGCTGGCAGCTGCCGCGGGAAGCTTACTTCTACATCTTTTTTCCATGTAGAGATGGACTCAAATATATGACATGACCCAAAGCGGTCTTGTCCGCAAAAGAAACAGACACACAACCTTTGAAAGTCAACCTTTGAAATCTAGTGCAAGAGGCTAAATGTAGCGGTCAACAGCTTTAGTGCTCAAAGCAGGTCCAAATCTTTCAAGGGAAATTGCACAACTTTGGGGGGAGCTTGGAATTTAAGGAACCACAATGGAGTTCAGTGAGGGCTGAGTTATTAGGTTGTTATCTTCGAAAGTTTGTCTTGTTGTAAAATGAATTTAAAAAAAAAAAGGCTTAGCAGCGGCTGGGAGGGATTAAGAAGTCAAAGCCGCAAATCCTGTTCTGATGAGGTAAAAATGAAGTCAGAGCGACAAAGAAACAGTCACGGATCAACAGCAGCGAGCAGTGGCGAGCGCTTCCACGCTAAATTGGCCTGCTCCTCAACTGCCATGTTGTTACTTCCACGGATTAGAAGCTGGCGAGTAATGAAGTACAAATGCTTTGTTACTCACAGCTGAAGTCGATTTTTCAGGTATCTCGATTTATTTTTCAAATAACTTACATTCATTCCCTATACACATATTTGTACATTTTAAGAAGCACAGAATCTAAATTCAAAACAGGCGTTGTGCATAACTGACAGCAAAAATTTATACTTTTTGATTTATTTATTGGAATTGAATTCATGGGATATTCCGATTGCAAATCAATGAAGCAGAAAGGCAATGTAAAATAAAAAATAAATATAAATTATGTATATATGTGAAAACACCAAACACTGTTGTTATCAATGACAAAAAGTG